CCTTGGCCGTACAGCAGCTCTGCACGACATGTGCTTCTTGCCTGGACTATCTCAAAGGGCTGACAACCACTGACTAAGAGCAGTAGTGTAAGTTGTTGCCCCTGCACTGCCATAGTGAAAGCTTATATAAGTGGTTTGCAGGGACATAAGCCTATGCAGAAAACACTGTTTAGCATGGACCAGTCATATTGATATAACTGATTATCTGTGGGAATGGGGACAGGAGTATAGACAGAGGGGAAAATATTCATCCTATCATAGTATTGCCATATAGATGTCGTGCAGCTTGCAGGAGAAAGGATTTGAGAGGACAATTGTAGGAGAAAGGACAAGCAGGGGAGGAAACATCTGAATATTTGTGATTATTTTAATAGAAAATATCAGAGGGCTATCTTGACTGTGACAATGGCTACTGACTAGTGCTCTGCATGTTTTGTATCTTGGGGGAAACTGTAATGTGACATACATGCCCTGTGGCATCCTGCATGAGCTGGGTGCTCCCATGTGCAGGCAGTATATAACTAATCATGGTAGAATCACTCTATATCATTGTATACTAATGGTGTTTCTAGAAATAAGCTGAGAATACATTTGAAATTATTAATCATTACATTGTTGCTATACAAATCGTTTCCAATTCTGGAAAAATATGTGTTGCTTTATAAATCATTTTTGAATTACTTACTGTATGTACTATAGGGAATGTATGACTACTATCACTTGTTCTTCTACATATATCCTCAGCAACTTCTAATAAAAGAACTGTAAACTATGACATCATTGGTTTTATAATTCTTCCAGGGAACAGTGTTTCCCTTTAACTTCCCTATTACAGGTAGTCCTTGCTTAATGACAATAGGGACCAGAAAATTGATAGTTAAACGGAGCGGTTGTTAAGCAAGTCACCATGTGACCGGACCCAATTTTATTACCATTTTTACAATCGTCATTAAGTGAATCACAGCAGTCAATAAGCAAATCACATGGTTGTTAAGCAACTTCAACTTCCCCAATGGAGTTTTTTTTTGCTGGAATTTGCTTAACCACCATGATTCACTTAACAACAGCAGGATTCACTTAATGACCATTGTAAGTCCAAGTACAGATTGTAAACCACTTTTTCCAAGGCCATCGTAACTTCAAATCATTGTTAAACAAATGGTTGTTAAGCGAGGACTACCTGTATTTGCAGAAGTCAGAGAAATAATGAACAAAACAATATATATTATGCATTTATTTATTAGAGAGAACTGAAATAGAGCCATAGGACTTAAAGTTAAATAATTAAACCCTGAAGGGGATACACTATGACAGTGCATAAGAATCTCTGGATTACATCATCAAGTAAACAAAATACTATATTTTCTATATAATAAACATATTTTACAGATGTTACTGTTACCATAATTTCTTAAACATAACTCTGTTTCACAATATTCTTACTGTTTAGGTGTGGAAAGCTGAATAAGTTTGGGTAGTTCTTGAACACGGCCTTTTAGTTCTTCAAGTCTTTGAATGCGATTCAGTAATTGATTAATATTATTTGTTATGCTTTTATCTGCTAGAGGAATTTCCCAGTCTGGGAGAATTTTCTCCTCACCTATCTGAAATATAGTTAGATAACAAAGTATTAACATAATCTGTTACATATTAACAGAGATTTTCTCAAATAGCTTGAAAGGAGCACAAAATTCACTGCTTCAAATAATGTACCTTGTATATCATTATACTAGAACTGTCTATATTAAGCTGTTGTAAAACTTATAGTGTGAAAACAAAATTTTATACTTTTAATTATGTATAATAATAATAAATATTTAAAACATTGCATTTATCTGAAAGGAAAACTAATATATTTCTTGAATAAACCAACCCACCAATCTCTTAAACATAACCAATCCACCATTTCTTAAAATCAATTAGAAAATACACTTTACTGGTAATGAGAAAGAAACTGAGATGCAAGTGAAATGGAAAGATTTTATTTTGGAATGGCCTCAATTGAGAACCAGGATATGCCAAGCTGGATGGAAAACAGAGAACTTACTCTCGTGGGATATGGTTGTTTTCTACTGTAACAGGCAATGAGAAAGAGGTGGGATGGAGACCACCATAGCATCCCTTGCCACTGCAATTGGATGATGTACCATCAGTAGAGTGGTGGTAAGTCAGGCCAAATGTAAGAAGCCAGGTTGTCAGTCTAGGGATCCCCTGCTGGTGACCTGGAGCAGCACACAGCAGCTTTGGTTGCTCCAAGCCACGTAGTGTATTTTCCCTGGGATGTATCTGGAAGAGTCATGGAGAGATTCCTACCCGTATATGAACAGGTATCTTTGTCCATCTCTTTGGCCATTATAGTTGCAGCCAGGCACAACTGCTGTATTCTCCCCCTCAGTGAGAAACAGGAGCAATGAGAGGGGACAGGTGGAAGAAGTAGAAGGATTTTTTATAGGACTATTAGTGAGAGACTGGAATAATGAAGAGGCACATAAATATATGATGGGGAAGGGCATTATTAGAAGGTGTCTGGGAATGTGTGGTTTAAGTGTAGGAATGAAGGAAGGCCTAATGCACTAGTTAAAGTAGACTTAATAAGTTTACTGATTTAGCAAGAGTGGAATTTGGCTGACTGAGGGTCCAGTGCTATGGGAAGTATTGTTGAAATAAGTGTAGTCCTTTGAGGGTTTCAGTGAATTCAGCCAGGTACTAAGAAGTGTTTTGGGGGCATGAATCAGGGGACAAGGGCAGTGGATTTGAAAGAAAAGAAATATCAGCAATTTGTTGCTGATCCCACTTTTGGAGGTTGCCATTTTCAGGAAGCCCTAAAAGAAGAGGCCAGATCCCTAGAGATCTTGGTCTCAATCTACTGGCAGTAAACATTAGATCTGTCTGTAATAAAACCATAATGATCCACAATCTAGTAGTAGATGAATAGATGAACCTGACATATTCTTGAAATCTAGCTGGGTGAGGGCAGGAATGTGATCCTCTCAGAAATTTGGCTTCCTGGGTCTAAGGTCCTGCAGCAGCCAAGGTTGGGAAGGGGGAGTGGTGATAACTTTGCCTATAAACCCAGGGTAGTCAGGTGTGAATACCTGAGTCTCATGCTGGACGGCAGGGACAGATTAGGGATCCCTTCCTGACCTCATCACTGAATTGATGTTGGAATATCAAGTACTATTGTTGGGGGATTTCAACCCCTATGTTTCAAGGATGGGGTCTGGTAAGGTTCACAATTTCATTTTGCCCTTGGTAATCATGGGTCCACATAGGCAGACGTATTAGATCTTGTCATTGACTAAAAGCAGTTAATGGATGATTTGAAGATGGCATTATTCTACATTCTTTGCCATGGTCACATTGATTTCTGTTCCACAGCTCTCCCACTTGGAATTTCTGCAATGTGAAAGGACCAATTAATATGTTCTGCTCAAACACCTGATAGAAACTGATGGACTCCAATGAGCACTTGGGGATTTCTCCAGCAATCTGGCAGAGCAATCAAACTCTTGATTGATATCTTGATCAAGAGGACACCAGAGCACTTGACATGATTGCCCAGAGGTAGCCTCTCCCTGTTTGCCAATCCTGGGGTGCTATTTGATTTATTGGAGAGTTCCAGAAGATCAAACAGTAGATGTCTGAAACACTAGTAGAGGAAGGCAAGAAGTGAACTTGACTGATCATGAGTAAGTGCCCACATCTGAGCTGACACCATAACAATAAATGCAGCAAAGGGGGAATATTACTGCATTTTACTGCATCAATAGCTTGTTGTTCAATGGTGCTATTTAAAGTAGTCAGCTCTGTTAGGGAGGGATGGGGAAGAGTATCTCTAAGAAACCCACTGTCATGTGTTTACAGAACATTTTGCTAATAAAGTTGCTCAAGTTCACCTGAGTCTTGACTCTATGGGTAGAATCTGATATAGTAACTGGGGCAACATTTGCTCTAGGATTCATTTCAGCCTGTGGATTCTGACAATGTGGACAGGATTCTCTGTCACATGGGCTCCACCACCTGTGACTTAAATCCATGCCCCTCCAGGCTCCTTCAAGGGCTACGGTGATATGAATAACTGGAACCAGGAAGTGATTTATGTCTCCTTGAGAGAGGAGACTGTACTGGGTTCTTTTAAAGAGACTCTGGTGGATTATCTTTGTTGAGAACTGGAGTGGGGGGAGTGTATCCTTCCTGGCCCTACTTGACTTCTCAGTGGCATTTGATATTATCAACCATGGTATCCTTCTGGACTACCTGCAAGGGTTGGAGGCCCTGTTCTGCAGTGGTTCTGCTCCTCCCTAAGAGAGCAAGATGAGGGTGGGAGACAGATCAGCCTAGTGGAAGCTTACTTGTGGAGTCCTAAGGGATTCATTCCTCTCAATTCTAAAGTTTACATGAAACTACTAGTAGAGGTCATAGATTGGTCTGAGGTGTGGTATCATCAGTATGATGAGATCTTTCCACCCCAGGGAGGTCCAGGGATGCCATGGAAACCCTCTGTCCATAGGCTGTGGGACTCCAATGGGACAAAATCAAAGAAAAGAGTCCTTAAAGCACTTTCCTACAAAGAAAATGCTATCTCTCCCTATTTCCAGGATAATAGATAGATAAATAGATAATGGTTGAAATTCTAAATTTGTTTCAGACTGAAGAAATCATGCCTATAGATAACTCCACCAGTGAGCTAGACTAGTTTCGTGATTTCCATTTTCCCTTGAAGACCCTTGCAACTATTACATTAGGAAATTCAGTGGAATGAGGAGGGGAAGCCTGCATGAAGAGGGAGAATTTGCAGAATTTGTCTCCCTGCTTCTGCAAGGAGAATCTTAAACTGAATCAAAAGGGACCTATTTGAATAAAAGGATCCCTTTGGTTTACAAAAGCTTATTTATGATGTAGGCCAATATCAAAGAGAAAATAATTGCAAAAGATTACCAATGAAAATAATTAAAAGATCTTCTCTTGTTTTGTTTCTAGAACTTTTCAAATATTAGCAATTACAGAAACACTTTTAATTGCATGAATAAGATTAATCCCAAATTTCTGCTGTGCCTGCTCAAGTAATAAAATCTAGGCCTTTTATTGTATCCTTCTGTTTTTTTCGGATCAATTGAACATTGATCCATTAGATGCAAGAAGAATTGACTGACCGGCTTGTCACCCAAGTTTGACGTGGTGGGCTGAGAGAGAGTGACTGGCCCAAAGTCACCCAGTTGGCTTTTATGCCTAAGGCGGGACTAGAACTCACAGTCTCCTGGTTTCTAGCCTGGAGCCTTAACTATTAGACCAAACTGGCTCTCAAACAGATTATATACAGAAACAATTCATATGGTTACCACATATTTCTAAATATTTTCTATTAATCCTTATGAACCAAGATTCTAGGTTTACCTCTTCCATCTCATGGACCTCCTTTTCAAACCACTTGAGGAAAAAAATAAATAAAATTAGACATTAACAGATTACATTTTTTACAAAATAAAACATATTTTTAAAGATCCAAATGGAAAGTTTCTTACCTTAAGCAATGACTCTAATATCTAAGAAAGAAAAAATATAATTCAACACCAATTTTATTTATAACAATTTAAATATTTGTTTTCACTTCAGTTTTTCCGAGGATGATTTTCTTTGAAAATTAGTATTAAACTGCTATATTTTTTATAATTGAAAAAGTTTACTCTTAATACCACTTGTATCTCAATTTAAAGGAAAACTATACCTAGATAGGTATAATCTTTTGCATTACTTTGTTTTTTGTTTTTCATTGCTTGTGTTCTATGCAACTTGTTTCAGTTCTGTTTTTTCACAACTGGCAGCATCAAAATATCCGTAACAGTGGTTGAATGATGATTACAAATATAAAAAATTTATGTCACAGATTTTGTTCAGAGTGAATATAGATGTTTAACTCCCAATAGCTCCATGGCAGGATGATTTCTAGCAGGAATGAAGTACTGCTAGCATCAGTTTAATCTTTATTAAACATCCAATTTACTTTTTAAAGATGGATGAAGTGCCCAGACTGTTAGCTTTTTCTTTCATTTAAAAATAAAATGCTTCAGCTTGTTCTAGGTAATTCTTCTCAGAATAGCCATATGTTCCTACAATTTCGAAAGTGACCCATTCGAGAAGATTTTGTGTGCATAAGGAGATTGAAGGAAGAAAGGGAATAATTCCCCCCCCCCCAAAATACTAAATGAAATCACTTTCATTAATACAAATTGACAATTAAATTAAAACCTATGCCTTTTTTCCCCCACAGAGGAACATACAAAATGTATTTGCTTACTATGTGGAGCAAAATCCTTCCAAAAAATCACAGCTTGCATATAAGTAGATTGCTCACTTATTTACTACCAAATAAATCAGTTTATTAAATTTCCAGAGCAAAATGTGAACAGAGTGATAGATAACTAGCACAGAACTAATTTTATAACTTCAATAGTGGGATATTGAAATACTGGATAATTCTGAAATTACTGTATTTAAAAAATGTGTGTGTTTAAAGCCTAAGTGAAAGGAAGATAAACTTCACCGAAAGACTAAGCAATGACCATACAGTATTATCTGGATATTCCATGACATTTCTATAATGAACCATACATATTTTACATTACACATTGAAAAATCTACCCTCGAGCAGCTGAATTTAAAATAAAAATTATTTAGCATATTGCCAAGCTCCTACAGCAGCCAAAGAATATGGCAAACAGATTAAAAGCATTGGTGGCCTAGGGATTTTATTAAACAAAAAACCAAACATTGAAAGCCTAAAGGTCTGCGTAACCCTGATACGCATGCATATTAGAGCAGGCAAACTACCCAATTGAATGAGGAGAGCAAAGCAGAATAATAATGCCTCCTCATGTTAGCTTGAGCAGGAGAAGGATTTTCTCTTACTAGACTTTTTAGCCAGGTTGATCTTTGTATTTTTGGAGTTTCCTCTTTGCAATCAGAGGGTGGGAGAATTAACTATGTCCTTACCAGATTACAGAAGCTTGCTCATTTTGGAGCTTACAGCTAGCGAAAATACCACGGATGGTAGTTTTCTGGCAGTGAAATTATCATTGATATAACTGGATCTCTAGGCAGCTATGCCTTTATAGGCAGAGAAGCATCTTTCCACACCTATTCTAAATTTCCAGCCAGAAAAATTGGTAGTTATGATTATATACACTATAGCAGAAATTTTTCAAGCATAGCAAAGCATCACATTTAAAAGTAAATAAAATCTTACATTTATATTATAAACATTAGAGTACGTACTTGCTTTTCTTCACGAAGTGCATTTTCTAGTTGTGTCCTAAGTTGTGAACAACATATCAGGAAAGAAGTCATATCTTCATACTCTTCCTTCCAATGAGAAAGAGAGAGAGAGAGGGAGAGAGAGAGAGAGAGAGGGAGAGATCATGAATCTTTATTTTAAAAATATTGCTAGGGAAAACTATTTCTGAGATTTGTATTAATTTTATTACAATTCTTATTTTTTAAATCAATTTAAGAAATTCTCTCATTTACATGAAGTAATGGTAGCATTTACTTATTGTGTAACTAAGTATATTAAGAATGAAAACATTAGCTAGGATACAATCCTATGTCAACTGAAAAGGTAAGTTCCAGTGAACAAATGAGCTATCTAATTACCAAAATTTCTATGTTGCATACTCTTCTGATTCAAGGTGGTTTACCACAGATAAAACATTAATAAAATAAAAAATCCATTCAAAAAACAGAACATCTAAAAACTATAAATAAAGGCACAGCTGCATCAAACAAATTTAGATGCCTTCTTAATAAAAACTATTTTCATCATCTTCTGAAACATCAAGGTAGGGGCACTACCAAACTCAGGGGAAGCTGTTCCAGAGGGGGCTGAGGAGCTTAATCTCTAGATCCCAGACCACCTGATTGTTTTTAGGCAGGTAGCCAAAGAATCCTTTCCCTTAGAACACATAGATTAGGCAGATTCTACATGAAGAACACAGTCCTGAAGGTAGCAAGGCCCCAAGTTATAAGAGGTTTTTATAAGCATTCACTTGAACTTTGAAAAAGAAGCCTACTGGCAAAATATGTAGCTCCTGCAGAACAGGTGTTATACTGCTAAACCAGTCAGAAAACTGGTTGCTATATTCTGTACTAGCTGTAGCTTCTGAGTTATCTTCAAGAGTACTCTCACATAAAGCCTATGGCAGTAGCTTAACTTAGAGATGGCAAAGGCATGAGTTATTGTCTTCAGTTCCTGCTGGCCCAGGAAAGGGTGCAACCAGCAGACCTGCCAAAGCTGACCAAAGGCTCTTCCAGCCACAGCTTCCATCTGTTGTTTCCCCAGAAGCCAAGAGGACAGAAGAATCTCTAGATTGCATTTCCACTTCCTTCAGGAGAAATGCTGTCCCATAAAGTGTAATAGATGAAACATTCATGACACCAGGTTTCAGCTACAGCAACACCAACTTACTGAAATTCAGTCTGTTTCACCCCATCTAGTCCCTCACAGCCTCCAGTCACCAAGTTTGGATTTCTACCACATCACCCTTCTGTCTCAGGTCAAAATATAAAGCTGGATATCATCAGTATATTGTTGATACCTAACCCTCAGCCTTACCGACAAAAATCTACTTTTGACAAGGCACTGGAAATTAATTTAATGTTTTAAAATGTTACTTTTACTTCATTAATAAATAGTAGTTATGTATTGTTTTACAACATAATCATTCAGCACAAACTACAGCTAGTCCTTGTTTAGCAACTGCCTCATACAGCAATCGTTTGCAGCTACAACACTGATGAAAAAGTAACTTTGCCACCAATCCTCACATTTACAACCTTCGCAGGTCTGTAAAGCAAAGGAAAGCTGAAATAAGATCATAAGTAGAGTCATGGTTTTACCTAGCAACCGCTTTGCTTAATGACCAAGTTGCCAGTCCCAATTGTGGTCACTAAATGAGGACTACTTGTATTACATCTTTTGTTACTGCTCATTAATACACACTTAGCCTAAAACCAGCATCATTCATGGTAAAATGAGGCCTATTTAAACAATATATATTATTTACAGGTGGTTCTTCCTCTTCCTCCTCCTCCTCTTCTTCTTTTTGTTTAATTTCACCTTCCATTATATAGACACTTTCCATTGTATGTACAATCTGCAAAAAGTTCCAAATAATGTTAAAAAATTTACATAGTGCTGGTACGTTTTAACATGCCCATAATGTTTGATACAACCTATTTCCAGGATGCTTATCTCTTATATACACAATGAAATTTCACCATTCCCTAAAACAATTATTCACTACTTTGGATTTTGATACAATGGATTCTATCGGAGACTTTTTCAAGTAAAGCTATAAACCAGGTCTTACCATCCAATCTATCAGTGAAATATTATCCAGATATTTCCATTGTTTATCGATGACTAATATGGTTCCTATAAGTAAAAATTTAATGAGTTTTTTACTTTGTAGTTTCTTATTCTGGCCATCAAATACGTGTAGCAAACCTAGTTTTGGAGAAGTGAATCTTTTGTTTAGTTATATAAAACATTTATCTAAACACATTCTTCCAAAACTCTGATACTTTATTGCATTTCCACCATTTACAGCCTCAGCAGTATCTTGCTGAATATTGAGAAAGGATATGTGAGATTCTTATTGGGGTTTGATGCCACCAACGTAAAAGCTAAAGATGTATTTCTTATATGGATGCTGATAAATATCCTTCATGCTACCACAGAGACTGCCATTATGGTCTACTTTTTCCTTTAAATTCCAGGCTTCTTTTAGCTCTCTGGTAGATTTGCCACCATTTATTTCAAATGAAATTTAATAAAACTGATAAATTTTATTTAAGTAATTCCCTTAGGTTCTGTAAAAAATGCAACATTAATTTTCAAAAAGAGACATATCTATTTGCAGGGTTGTTGTTGTGCGGAAAGTAGGCGGCAGGAGTATTAGGTATGTTCACTACCTTCAGTTGACCAAATATAAAGGTGGGATAAAAATCTAATAATAAAAATAATGTTAATGATTAACCTACCTCATTTAGATGTTTGGTAATATTCCTAAGCATTTCCATTTCATCAAACATTCTATCTTTATTTCCAGACGAAAGAGACAGAGAATACTGTGTAACAGTTTCATTGGTATCTGCAGGCAGTAAAACCATTGGCTCAGCTCCATATCTGCTGTATCCTCCTTTCTTCTTTGTACCAGGGGATGAGATGTCAACTGGGTTTTGTTTAATTTTTTTTGTTGCATTCATTGTGTTGGTTATGTAATCTTTTCAAGAACAGATAACAAAAAATACACTCTAAACTATTAAAAGCTTTGAAAACATTATCAAAATACTTTAAAATTTAAACAATCAATAAAGTACTATACAGCCCTGAAGACTGTCCCAATAAATTTCCTGCATTCCAGAAAGTTTACACCTATCCTACCTTTAGCATGCCATCTCTTTTAATGTCTTTGTTTTCAATTTGCAAGCTGTGTCAACAACCCTTTGGAGCCTACCTAATATAATGGTTACATTACTTGTATTCCTAGAGAGTCAGTACTGTAGCAGTTAAGGTGCTGGACTAGGAGTGGGAAGAACCAGGTTCTAATAATCTCTTAGGCACAGAATATAGCTGAATGTCCTTGGGCCAGTCACTCCCTCTCACCCATAATCAGCATCAAGGTCTGTGAAAAGCCAGCTGAAGAACAAAACCTCTCACTGCATCATGCATTGATAGTTTTCCTATTTGAACTAGGTGAGCAGAATGTAGAAAAAAGTGACCCTGTAACCATATGCTAAAAAAAAAAACCAACTGCTTTCTAATCTTACCAAACTATTTTTTTCTGTAATTAAGTAGAAGTAAAATATAAATAACAGTTCCACATGAGACTTAATGTATTGCATCAGCACTCTTCAAAGGCAAGGAAAGTCTCCACATGGACAATACCTAAATAACGACAGGATCCATAAATAAATAAATAAATAAATAAATAAATAAATAAATAAATAAATAAATAAATAAATAAATAAATAAATAAATAAATAAATAAATAAATAAATAAATAAATAAATAAATAAATAAATAAATAAATAAATAAATAAATAAATAAATAAATAAATAAATAAATAAATAAATAAATAAATAAATAAATAAATAAATAAATAAATAAATAAATAAATAAATAAATAAATAAATAAATAAATAAATAAATAAATAAATAAATAAATAAATAAATAAATAAATAAATAAATACAAGAATAGCATTACCATCATGTATACTTCAATTTCTAATAATTTATCAATTACTAAATAAAGGTCATATGCCATACATTTGAAACCTCCTAAAAAATCAAATATTCAATCGCCAATTTCTCAAGTATTTCTAAGATTGGATATTATGCCAGAGAAATGCAGTGTCAGTTTTAAAGAACAGATTCAAGAAAATAATTTAATACCTATTCGGGTTAATCAGTAAACCACACTAGAGAAGGAGAGGTTTTTCAGTTAATACTTCAATTAAAGTATTAATTTTATTTATTTCATTTCCTCCATTTCTGTTTATATTACCTGTACACTTTAGTTATTTTCTGGTTTACCTTGTTTTGTTTCTTGTACTACATTCATATGGTATTTGGTTCTTGTTTTTTCTTTTTCATTTATTATAGATTTAAAAGGAATATTTTTTAAATAATCTGCATTCATAATACACACAACTCATTTTCAACACCATGTTGTCTTAAAAACAAGCCCACGAGAATGAATCTTAATGACCAATTTTAAATATTAATATTTTTCTGAACACGTATTGTAGGGTTGTACATGTTTCAAAAGTGATTTGGAAGAAGTGCTTCAGACCTTATTTGAGCTCATGTGACAGTAGCACTATTCTATTCAATAAAGGAGCCAAACTTTTTTCTAAGTTTCCATGAGAGCCTGAAAAAAAATCCCAACCTTTTAAGATTTGCATTCATTTTAAGTAGCACCATACAAAAGCCTGAAAAAGTTGTTTTAATAAAAAGCAGAAAGTTCTGCGCTCATTCCAGATCCAAAGTATTTCTTCCTAATCATTTTTATAACAAGAACAACCCCAATCCACAGCACATTAATCTATAATACTGCAATAAACTGATTACTACTTTCAGGTAATAATAAATAATAACAATAAGCTAAGTGCTTATCAGTATACTCAACAGTGTTAGTGCAGTAATTCCACCTTTCTTACAATACACTCTCTTTAACAGCTTTTTCTTCCTCTGTTCCTAATGTCATGTACAGTGCATCTATGTTAATCTCATGAATCTGGCACAGAAACATCTCCCATCAAGCAGAGAAGCAACAACACTTTGACATAAAGCTTAGGGTTTACTTCAGGCCCATTAGTGTTCTAAACAAAATTAAGCTATTTATTTATAGAAATTTACCATAAATGTTTTAAAAAATTTTATGGATACAATGTGGCTAAGTAACCTTCAGATTTATCACTGAAAATGAGCCAATAATACTATTTTTTTATTGTGCATGATACTATTAAAATGTAGATATTTTAACTTTATCTAACACCTTCAATCATTATTTAAAAATGTAAACCATATAGCCCACCCTTAAGTATACCTAACTCCACATCCTATTTTTGCTCCAGTATATCAGTATGACTGCATGGAAAAGTTACAAGAAAAATAGAAGATACAGGGCATTCTATTTTCCTATTGCTTTGGGAATCATCCAAATTTTAAGAGTTTGTTTTAAGAATGATCAATATACTGTGCTGTTTCATACTTAGAACAAAATACTGTTATTTCAAGTGTTCTAGACTATTTCCAACTGGAATGTTGTCTTATATTCTAACAGGATTGTTTAAAAAAATGTTTCCCAAGTCAGTACTGATCAGTAGTTCTCCAGCTGCCCATGTCCCTGCTGCTATTGGCTTAGGTTGGGTTGGGTGGAATATTGGAGCAAAGAAGCAGCACATGGCTCAGTAGGGAGGTATCTTTCTGACTGCAACAGCTGCTAGTGAAATGCCCAAGAAAAATGAATCAGAACTGCTATGAAGTGACTGGCCCAAAGTTACCTAGTAAGTTTCCATGGCTAAGGGCAGGCTAAACCTGAGCCTCCCCAGTTCTAATACAACAGCATAACCACCACAGAACACAGACCTACACTTATTCATCAAACATATATTAAGTCCTTATTTTAAACACACCATCAAATCTAACATAGAAGAGGAAATGCTCAACAAAAGAGCAACACACAGAATCCAGCTAATCTGCACCTTAATCCTACCTTTAAAATAGTATACCTGCATCTGCAGAACTTTCTGCAATTATTCAGTAGCTTCTAAGGCAGGTTAATTGTTCCCAAACTTAAAAGGAAATACAAAATAATAGGATTTAATAGCACATGTGGCCACAGAAACTGGAGTTATGGAATGCATGCATTGGCTGAGGGAATGAGGCTGAATCTCATTTTCTGGCTAGTTGAATAATGCACTGTCCATTAACTGAACCATGATTTGCTGAATTAAGCCAGTTGCCTTAGTTCACATATCACAGTAAACCATTAATTAACTATATCAGCTAGTATAATTAATTGCTTTGAGCCATAAACTAGCAATTATATTTAAGCCTAATGCTATCAAAACGACACCTACATACATGCATGTCTCCAAATACAGTACATACAGAAATCAAAGTGACTATATTATTGGTACAAGGAGATGGAAGAGCTCAGTTATAACAGCAAAGACTTGGGCAGGGGCAGACTGTGGAACAGATCATTTGCCAAGTTAAGCTAAAGCAGAGGAAGAAAGCCAACTATATTCTGGGGGATGTCAATTTATATGGAGAATGGGGGAGATCAGGAAATCTGGATGGAGGCTATAGGATCAGGAAAGTGATGAGCAGAGGTAGGTATGACAAGGCATTGGGTTGGCTATTACAGAAGGAGAACCAACAATTTGGTGAAGGTATCCACTTCTAGTATGTTGGTGCCTTTCCTGGATTCAACAGGTTGAATTACAGGATTGCTGAATGAATGCCAGGTTTCTACATAAAAAGACATCATCCATCCACAATTTGGTGGTAGATGCCTGCAAACCTAGCAAGTGTTGCTGAGACTTGGTTAGGTAAAGACATAACCCAAGATCTTTCCTCCCAATTTTCAGGTTCTGCAACAGCCATAACCCCAAAGCCAGGGAAGGGAGGTGGTAACAGTGCTTCCAGAGAATTTGCCTGCAACTAGCTATGCCAATCCAAAAATGACCAAATGTGAATGTCTTTATGCAGAGCTAGACTGCAGGGACAAATTAGGGCTGGTTTTGATGTACCACCTACCCTGCTGTCCAGCAGCAGTCATTCCTGAGCTCCTTCATCTCATAGCATAGCTGACGGTGGAGTCTTCAAGCTTTTAGTGTTGGGTGGATTTCAACCTTCTTGTCCTAGGGTGGGATTTGGTGGGCCTCAGGAATTTGTGACCCCAGCCCCAATTCATACGGGAGGTCACGTTAGATCTGGTGTTCAGATAGCTCATGGTCTGAGGATGAAGGACATTACCATTAATCCTTCATAGTTGCCAGATCATTTTCTGATCAAGGTGTGGATAGTTGGCATCCTGGACAACTGTAAAGGTGGGAACTGGTTCAGATGGTCTGTCTAGGTATCTGATGTATCTGGAGGGAGATGCTTTGGGATTTGCCCAGTGTTTTGGCAGACAATTCTGTTCATGCCTGGTTGACCTCTTGAATATGGAGATGGACCTGATGCTGGACAACACTGAACCCACTTTTCCTCTCTTTAGTTGTTGATCACAGAAAGCCCACTAATTTATCAATGAGCTTTGGGAAATGAAACAACTGATGAGAATTACACTGGCAAAACACCAGGAATGAGTATGATCAAGCACGGGTACATGACCATGATCAGGATAATGAGAGGATACGAGCAGTAAAGCATTTTTCTGGTGGTGGTGTTTGTTTGTTTTTTTGATGTTATTGTGTCTGCAGATTCTTGCCCAGTATCTCCGCTCAGGATGACCATTACAGAAGAACAGGTGGGAAAATACTTCTGCAGGTCACATACTTCTGACATGTTTCTAAGAATCTTTGCAAATAAAACTAGTCATACGTATATTCCTAAGCCAATGTAGTATGAAGATTAGGATGTTGGGAGAGTCACTCAGTGAAATTTCAAGGTTGAGAATGGTTTTCAACCTGGAGTCAAACGCATCCTCGGCCATGAAATGTCATTGAGTAACTTTGGGCCAATTACTCTCTTTTAGTCTAACTACCCCACAGGCTTGTTGGTGAGGATAAAAATGGGTGGAGGGAGCCCTATGTATATTACCTTGATCTCCTGAATGAAAGGCAAGATATTCATCTAATAAAGATTTGCTTAAAGTTGGATGCCTCTTGGACAGACTGCAACAAGTTGTATAAGGTAATATTTTAGAATGTGATCTAGGATTCTTCTGGTCTCATGAAATTCAAGTAAATGGACAGAGCTCTCTGTAGCATGAGGTCAGCTATCAATGGGCTGGATCTATGACCAACCTCACCTATTTCAGCAGATTGTGAGGGATTATGGCTGAATTCAGAAACTGACTATCTTTTTAAAGCTAAGGTACCATCAAACCTGAATGAGAAAATGATGTGTCTTCTCCTGAAGATGCCATCTCTTAATCTAGTCATATTCAACAACTTCTGCACAGTTTCCATTCTTCTCTTACTTCATACTTCTCAGTGATTTTGTAGAAGGTGGTGGGATGTCAGCTACAGATGAACAGATTATCTAGATTCCTTTTAGTCAGGGTTCAGACTTTGATATGTTACAGAAATAGCAGTGCAGTGGGTAACCTTTGTTAAAACACTAGACAACCCTTGACCCATTGAGTCATCCAGAGACAATGCTACGTTGAAGACTGACGGACAGGTGACAAGCTCCGCTCAGCGGAGCCTCTCCAGACAAGGAGAGGCCATGAGATCACCAAATTTGCTCTGGAGGGCTGCTCCTCGGGAGGAAACCACAGGACCTGAAGGTTCTTGTAGTCAATTTGTGAGTCTGAGAGCTTTGGAGCTGCAGAAGAGATAGCAAGGTCACAGCCTCAGTGGAGCCTGTATAAGGACATTGGGTTCGCTCAAAACCTCACTCTCTTAAACACATTTGGAATACAACTATTTTAAAGTTAAAAGAGATATTTGGAACAGCAGAGTAATAAACTACCCAGTGAGTGATCCTTCATTCCAGAATAAAGAAAAGAACAAAAATAACAATTTTTTTTTTAAATAATGGCAAAAAGCTTGACAAGAATTTGGATTAAGAAAGTTTAAAATGGACTAAGGGGACAGTCAAACTTGAAATATTATTTTTTAAAGTGTTTCTGAAATAATAAATACATAGCTTTGTAGGAATGCAGACTGTTTAGAACTTTAGTGAGAAGACAATTGGTTGACTTGGCAATATAAAGAGATTTGTGAGAGCCCCTGTGATTGTAGAACTACAGGCTGCCAAAAGGGCCCAAAATGTTACGGTCACAGAAAAAAGGCAAAAAAGGAAAAAGAAAAGAAAAGAAAAAGGCTCTCCCTTACTTTCACTGTTGTTCCTGTCTTTCTCTTTCTAGATTAGAAATAAAAGGAATGGCTACTACTAGAAAAGCAGCAAAACTTGGAGAAGGGAGGAGAGGATCGTTAGAGCAACCAAAAGAAAAGGGGATTACCCCAGAGATATTACAAAAAATGTTTGAAGAGTGGGGAAGAACATATCTGAATCTGTCAAAAGAGATTTGGTTGCATTTGAAGGGAGATTGGAAGAAAGATTTGTAAACATGTAAGAAGAAATGAAAGAGATGAAAAAAAAAAAACCTTGAAGCATCTGTAGGACAATTGAGTGGAAAGGTGAAACAAATTAAAGAGAAGGTGGAAATTTTAGAAAGTAAAACAGAAATAATAAACAGAGAGATGGAAAAAGATTTAACACTACCTGACACTACTGGAATTAAGAGAAAAAGAATTCTGCTGAGATTCAGTCTGGTACCAGAGGAACCTGGTGAAGATACTAGAGAGAAAGTTGTTCAATCTTTAACATTTTTGGAATGGGATGAAGATAATATGGATGCAGAAGTAGATAAAGTATATAGGATTAATGCACATTATACAACGTTAATAAATGTACCAAGAGATATTCTTGTGCACCTTGTCAGGAAGAAGACCAGGTTCTGCAACAAGATTTCAACACCAGGCTGAAGATTAACAACTCAGATTTAATTGTATTTAAAGAAATCCCAATTAGAATACTGCATAAGAGAAAGATGGAAAGATTCTGAAGTACCCAGAATGGAGGAATGGTTGGTGAAGATGACAGAACTTGCAGAAATGGCAAAATTGGCTTGTTTGATTAGGGAAAAGACAACATTTATTAGCACCTAGAAATCCTTTATGGACTTTTTGCTGAAAACAGAAAAAAATGAACTGATGATTTATGGATCTGATGATTAGAAAAGGAAAAATATGGGAAGAAGGGAATTATGACACAACCTTAAAGAGGATAGATGATAAATTTATTTGTAACAGCTGTAAAGATCAGAAGCTGATCCTTTATATATTTTTTCTTCTTTTTCTTTCCTTTTCTTTCCTCTGTTTACTTTTCCTTATTTACTTGCTCTGCTTTCTTTTTTCTTTTTCTTTTCCTTAAATTAATATTGTATGTTTGTTTTTACTATTGTATAAAATCTCTTAATAAAAATTATTTTTAAAAAATACCTCCCTAACCCAAAGGAGGGCAAATTAAATGAAAACATTCTTCACATATCACTTCGGACTACAGATCCCAGTTTAAGAACAAGTTCTCTTCCCAAGGTCTGCCCTTAAGTCGAATTTGTATGTAAGCCAGAACAGTATTATTGTATAATACTGTACAGTATAAATAGTATTGAGTAATTAACTTGAACCACTGCGTATTTAACTCAAATTTTGCTATAATAGGCTCCATTCTTAACCATGGGTCTTCCTTAAACCAGGCATTCTTAATCCGGGGACTACCTGTATAAACATAGTGACCATGTGCAGAGCACTGTTTACAAACTATACTTCCTCATCTGTTTTCTTTAATTATGTTTTTAGGTCAACCATGTTGTTCATGGCCTAAACAACCATTTTGGATCCTTTTAATCTAGATACTATACCTATAGTTTTCTTATAACATCCAAATTAAATGAATCCAAGATGACAGCTGCTTAAGTTTCAAACAATGTAAGCTTGAAAGGTCAGATTGCTGATGGGGATATAAAAAATGGAGTTGTACACATATTTATAACTCAGCATGACTTGCAAGCACGGCTACAATTGCTTTATTTTAATTAAATGAAATTAATTACTTAACAGACAGCTAATATTGATTTTAGGACCTGTTTCAGGTATCTACTTAGCCATATTTACTGAATTATTCCTCAGTCAGGTACACTCCACAATCTTAGCCACTAGCCATACTGATTTGGGGGGAGGGGAGGTGGTGAGTGGCGTAGATCAGTCTATCTAGACAGAAACTGGAGCTGAATTTTCATCCTAATAAACCTCACAGGATGGTAAGAGGGCAACTGAGAACAGGCAGGTTCACTCATCTTACTATGATTTTAGTTTGGGCTTAATATGTTAAGGCATTATGATTTGTAAACTATAGCATATGACTTACTATGATCTGTGACTTAGACGCCAAACCATGCTTCAGCAAGCTATGGCATAATATGATGTGTGAACTTACTGGCAAAAATAAGTAGAGCTTTCCAAGACCCAAAAGCAAGCCTTTCAGGCTGGGACCCCAGGAGTGACAGGTGCTGATCCTTCATGGTACAATAACTGAGGGCAAGGGGGAGAAAGGAAGGAAGGCACACAGGCTTAAGTCCCATGAGGGTTTCTGCTCACGAACTTCCTCTTCCCTCCCTTCCAGAATATGGCCACGCATGTACATAGCTCTTGTGCCCCTTCTCCCCCCAAAGAATCCCTCCCCCATGGCCATCTCATTCCTTCCCAAGCAGAGAGGATCACCAGTGGGCACCAGAAAAACAGTAACAGTGAGCTCCAGAGAAGCCACTGAATCCTACAAGAGCTTCTTTTCCACTGCATGCGCTGGCCTCTCCTCACCTCACTACCACGTGATCCAACTGAGAAGAGGAGGAAGAGAGGAGGCTGATGGTGGTAGCGGTGCTGCTGTTGTGGCAATAGCTGCTGCAGAAGCGGCTCACGAAGAGGAGGTGCTCAGTCAGCAGTGGTGGCAGCTCATCCCTTCCCTTTGTTCCCTCCTTACTTTTGCACTCAACAACTTCTGTGGAGGTGCCACCCCCCACAACCAAATTTGTTGGGGGCATGAAGCAAGCAGAAGTCCAGGGTCTCTTTGCCTGTGGGCCCCACAGTGTCTACCTCTTCTATTTGTATACCTGTGTATTTCTTGTATAAGTTTTACCTTAAAGGTTGGGACAAGAACATAAGGCTCTTTTCATAACTTGTTAACCCATGATTAATTCTGGTTTACTATTTATCCTAGTTTCATGGATTTGCACTATATAATGAGCCATAAACTAACCAAAGACTGGTTAGCACAGTCCAGGAGCCTAGGCTGTTGAGTGAGCCTGGCCTGGATGGTGAGCTTTAGGGTTCAGTGAGTCTTCTGACCCAAGAGAAATGGGATAATGAATTAGATCATAATTAACCTCGTCTGAATCACGCAACACAGCCGCTGTATCTATGATTCCCTATGTTACTACTCGTCGACTGCCACAGACCCACCTAGGCAAAGGCCGAGCTACCCTTTCCGTTTCAAGTCAGTGGTTTCCGAAAGCTGTTCAACTACCAGGGCGCCGCATCTCCCGCTGCCCGCTCTCCACTTTCTCTAGCCGCCGCTTCGGGTGTCTCGTTGTTGTTCTTTCTGAGGAAAAGGCTGTTACCACGAAGGAAGGAGAGTCGGCGGACGTGGGAGCGCGAGGAGGCTCGCGGCCTTTGCGTCATTAACTGCCATTTGTTTTGAACGAGAGCTTGAGTTTTCCGCCTGCAGAAGCGCGCCGGATCAGTGGGTGGCGCGCCCGCGCTAGGAGAGTGCCGCTGGGACGCGTGCGCGCGCTGGCTGGCTGGCGTCTTCGCTCTTGTGCGTGGTAATCTGTTAGCCTTAATCCAAAAGAATCGCGGCAGGATAATATCTTTATTTAGGGTCATTTAAAATCATAAGGGAACAAATTAGAGTCGACTTCGTTCGAAGCTTTCATTGGAATGCATGATAAGCAAACAAAAGAAAATTAAAATTGTTAGGGAGTGCGGGGTTGGACAATATCTCAGCAACTTCCTTTTCCTAATTGCTTTCTTTCCATCTCTTTTTGATTATGCCTGTTTCCCATTGGAAACATTGAAAATCCGTTTCACATAATCTTTATTCCTGAGAAAGCGTGAATGGAATTGCAACCAATCATCAAATTCTCCTAATTCCTTGTTTAATAAATTGAGGGGAGACTTTCAATAATAATACAATGTTCTCATTTCATTTGATTTATTTTGGATCAGGTTACTTACAACGAGTTCCTATTATTTTAACAGGGGTTGCCTCCAGGAAAACGATTTAATCTCCCTACTAGTGGAGTCCAAAAATGGGGCAAAATCAATGTCATGGTAGAATCAGAAAGATTATATCGGAAAATTCTGTATTCTATCAAATTACCTATATGTCAGTGGATTTTATTTGAGGGACTACCTATCTTCTGCCTGTCCGGTAAGATCAAGCAGAGTTGGTGTGCTTTGGGTCCCCTTGATCAAATAATCCCATCTATGAGAACCCAGGAAGCATGACTTCTCTGTTTTGGCACCTGCTCTCTGGAATTATATCCCCCTCCAGTACATATTTTTCCTAGTACATATTCTCTGTTTACAAAAACTTCATTTTATCAATTGTAGTTCTTCCCAGCATGGAGTTACAAGATTGAGAAGAGCTTGATCTGATAAAGTTTCTTTGCTGTTAAAGGCATGTTAAAGGCATAGATGGGCAGTAATTTTTAAATCATTCACACAGCTGTTACAGAGTTAGCAACACTGCAAATGGATTTCTCAATTCTCCCTGATACAATTATTCTCCTGTGCAATGGTCTTATATTTAGCTTTTCAAGGTACAAAATGCCACAACAAGGAAAGCAGCTGTTACATGTCTCTCAGTTATCAAACATCTTTAAGAGGGAAAAATGGCAACTCCATTTACAGGCCTGTGGAAGGATAAAGGCCCTTCAGGGATTAGCTAATTTTGGTCAACACTGCATAGAATAAGTATGTACACCTAAGGACTGTAGGTGAACAATTTTCATTGCAGCCTTCAGAGCCCTTCCAAAAGATGTCAGCAAGGTATAAATCTTAATGTGACCAATATATATATATTGATTTCATATATATATGAAATATGTGGAGATATGTATTAATTGTATTTAATTAAATAAAATATATTGAAATTAAAATGAAGTTTATTTTAGCTTTTCAGCCACCCATTTCTTAATCTTAGAATCTAAGATTCTAATATTAGAATCAATGAATCATAGAGTTGGAAGGGACCTAGGAGGTCATCAAGTCTAATCCCCTGTACACTTCAGGATTCACTACCCAATGGATTACTATCTAGCCTCCATTTGAAAACCTCCCATGAAGGGGAAGAAATCACTCCATGGAGTAAGCTATTCCACTAATTGACAGCTCTTACAGTCATTAGGAAGAATGTCTTACCTGTATCTACATCCTTGAAGTTTCATCCCATTCATCCTAGTCTTACCCTCTGCAGCAAGCAAAAATAAGTCTGAATCCTCTACAATGTGACAGCCCTTCAGATATTTGGAGACAGCTATCATGTCCCCTCTCAACCTTCTCTTCTGCAAGCTAAACATATCTAGGTCTTTTAACCATTCCTCTTGGTTTCCAGTTTTTTCACCATCTTGGTAGGTCTTCTCTCGACTTGCTCCAATTTATCAATGTCTTGCTCACTTTTTGATGTGTGGTCGCAGGATGACATTTGTAAACCAAGTATAGCCCTCAATCCAAATAAAAATGTGCAACCCTGGCACAGAGAACACATTGAAATTGAATTAAGAATCCATAAAGCATCAGGTAAAGGCTATTTGGGCAGATAGGAGATGCTCCATAGAAATTCAGCAGTAAGAAGAATTTCTGATAATGTTACTATATTGCTAGGAACTAGTATATATTTATTTTATTTGTATTCATTGGTATGCTGCCTATTCACAAAATTCTATTTCTAATAATTTTCTTATTCATCAAAATCAATAAAAGCTATTTTTATAATATTTAATTGTGTTTATAATGTCACAAGTATGGAACTGAGATATTAGCAGGAGATATGTCTATTGTTTTAGCATTATAGTTGTATGTTTTTAATTATATAAAGTATTTGTAGTATGTTGTTTGTGCAATCTTGACTCCATTGGGAAGTCAAGTTATTTATAAGATAACTTATAAATATAAATTAAGTATGCAAATAATATTCTATCTTTTGTGTTTAAAATTAACTGTATAGTAGTAGTATAAAATCAAAGAAATGAAATAACAAAGACATAACGATAAATCACAGCACAGGAACAATTAGGAAGCAGAATTGAAGTCATGCAGTGGCTTTATTCATGCATTGTGCTAAATCATGTTGATTTGCTCTTTTGTTTTTGTTATTTATTTATTTAATATACTGCTGTATTCCATATGGACTCGTAGTAATATGCAATAAAAAACCTAAAATGAACATAACAGAAATAATCCTTAAAATATCAAACTTTTAATAACTTATAATCAGTAATAAAAGGTACCAATGACAGATCTTAAATGTTCTAAATAGTTCAGTTAGAACCATGCAGATTTCTGGATTTGCTCTCTCACAGATCTTCACCATCTAAGCCTGAAATGCAGGTGCTAGACAGGTACAATCTGCTTGAAGCAAATGGTCCTGTAGGCACCCAGGTACCAAACCACACTGGGCTTCAGAACGAGTACTTTGAATTGTAGCTGGAGGCTTTTTGGTCGTCAATGCAGAGCACACAACATCAGTATTATATGTGCATAGTGACTCTTACCCACCAACAAACAGGCTGCTCAGTTTGGACCAACTGTGGCTTCCAAGTATTTTCAAAGGCAGCCCCATGTACAAAAGTAATAAATAATTACAGAAAAATACAAATGCAAAAAGTAGCTATTCTATTGCCTTTTAGAGAATTCCATTATCACCAATTTAGGGTTATAATGCCTGCTTTACCTCAAGAGGGAGACTATTCCAAGGCATGGAGTTAGGAGTGAGAAAATCGTATGCAAAAGTCTGCCCTTTTTACCTCACAAAACTGGGGGAGTATCAAAAGGTTTTGTTGCAGTGCATGCACCAAGTAGGTTGGACAGGTCTCGTGAGTACCAAGATGCCAAGCTATATAGGGTTTTATGGATTAAAATCAGTACTTTGAATTGCACCCAGAAATTTACTGGCAACCAATGTAGCAGCTGCAATATCAGTGCTATAGAATTATTGCAACCTTGATTCATCAACACATGGATTGCTGCATTTAACACAGGGAGTAACAATACTGTTATGAGCAAACAACATATCCCTCCTCCCTTCCTTCCTTTCTTAAGAGCATGCTGGCTGGGGAATTCTGGGAGTTGAAGTTGCCACGTTTGAAAAACACCGCTCTAGATCATTAAGAAATGGAATAGAGTAAGGCTGAATGTTAGAAAGTTCCATAAGAAATGGAACAAGCATTAAAGTCTTGAGTAAGCATTATGTGGATTTCTATTGGCCCAGGTTGTGAAAGTTGTAGTCCCAGACATCTCAAGGGCACCATGTTGTCTACCCTCCTGTTTTCCAAAACAGGTCTGTAACAAATCTATATGAAGAACTGGAATCTTCGATCAATGTAATTTTACAGTAGAGAATTAAATATATAATGAGAAAAATATATAGGAGGATTTTAGGGGAAGTAACATTTTAAATTAAGATTTAAAATTTGTTAATCCAATCCAGAATAAAATTGAGAAGCATAGGGTACTATTAAGGCTGCCTGTTTGACTGATGACCAAAGTCAGAAGTACTTCAAAGGATACATATTTCAGATCAATCTGTATCAGACAAATCAGTTTACTGCATTTATCCCTCTAGCATTGCTAAGTTGAAAGAAAAAAGCCTCTTATTCTCCATCACTGTGGAAGTATCACTTAATCAAATACTGTACATGTTTGGATAATACCATTTTCTGACCTTCCCCAATCATGACTATTTGGGGCTGATGTGGGACAGCTTTTTTGTACTGAAATACAATTGCAACCTAGATTGGATGGAAACTAAGAAAGTTGCTTGAGATACAAGAACACAAATGGGGCCAGCACTGCTTTGGCAAAGCACTTCTGAGATTAGTCTGTTAAGGCAGAATCATAAAACATACTTTTTTTGTAACTGTATTGAAATCATGTAAATTAGGGTGGTGTAATTTAAGTTTCTTAGTTTCACCAGTGAAGTTAAACTGATTTCAATATAAATGTATTGGTTAAGTGGTTTGTGGTTTACACTAATGCCATAATACAAAAAAAATGAGGCTTTCAAAGGAAACAATGTCATCACTGGTTTAAACTTGCTATGAAAGAAAGTGAGAAGGGGAAAGAACAGGATCAGCTGGGGTGGGTTAGGGTTATTCTGGTATCAGAAGAATGAGGTGGGAGTGGCAAGGAAGGTTACCAGTGGGAAGACCATCAGGCGGGCAGTGGCGGGCT